GCCTTTAACTATCATCTACAGCAAACCCATATAATGTCCTTTGACCAAGGTCCTCTAGGTTTACATTTCTAAGCAGAGTTTCATTTTGAGTACTCCATTTCATAAACTCCTTTGCCACAGCATCAACCAACTCACTATTGTGTAAAGGTAACTCTAACCATATTGAGTAAGTCATAGCAAATCTGCCCACCTTATTCTTTTGAGGATTATGAAGACACAAAAGATGTCTGAGTACTGAAGCTAAGTTTAGTGAATAAACTTGGCAAACAATTTCTGGAGTCTATGGGCCCATAATCATAATATTTCATCGGATATAAACTGGATTAGCCACCCCTGACAAATGGAAGGTGTGGACTGATAAAACACTCCTGCTGTCGCACATCCAGTCTCCCAGAAACTGAGGGCACGTCTTCACTACTCGCTGGATCGGCGGGTAGCAATCGATCTATTGGGGAACGACTTATCGCGTCTAGTGAAGACGCGATAAAATCGATCCCCGATGGCTCTGCCGTCTACTCCGGAAATCCACCATGGCAAGAGGCGGAAGCAGAATCGACAGTGGCACGGCAGTGGTCGACTCGCCGCCGTCCTCACAGCCAGGTAAGTTGACCTAAAATACGCAACTTCAGCTACGCGATTCACGTAGCTGAAGTTGCGTATCTTAGGTCGACTCTCCCCCCCCCGTAGTGTAGACCTAGCCTGAGCTGCCTTATTCCAGTCATTGAACCAGACTGTGAACTTAAGTTTGAGAATTTCCTCAAAGAGAAAGATTGCTTCTTTCCTGCCTCCTAGGACTGAGACCCTGAAGAGCTTAGGCTTATTAGACCCCTAGCCTTAACATTGTGAAAACACTTGTGCAGAGGAAGGGCTGAATTTTGAATTTCTGCCTGTGGCTTCGGAATTTTCACTTAAGCTCTCTGAAGGGCTAGGGCTCACAATGGAAGCCTGAGATAATTTACACTGGGACTCCACACTATACTATATGAGGCAATCAAGACCACAGAACTACTAACAGAACACCAATGATTAGAACCCGGTCAGAAAATGGAAAAAAAAAAATGTGAACATCGAACCTGTCATTATACATAAAGCTGTGGCCTAGCTCTAAAAAGGTGAGAGGAGGAAAGGTTCTCCTGAAACAATAGTTGCTTGTTGGGAATCAGAGTTCTGAATCATGAACATTAACATCTAAATGCAGCAGCACCAATGTTTCTCTTAGGACTCTAAAAGAGTATTTAAAATACAAGTTGGAAATAAGAAGCCAGCGATTTTTCAGTCACCTATTAGAAGAGGCATTTTTTTTTAATTATTGGCATGTCAATGCTAATTACTAACTTTTTCTATAGGCTTATCGTTCTAGAAGAAAAGCAGATGTTATGATACCACACAGATAAAGTGCATACATCAATTTTACTGTATTAGAAGAAAGGTGCAGCAACGCCCCCTTGTGTTGTAAAGAGAACTGATCAGGAACTAATGATAATTCTTTATATTTTTCTTGGTCTTAAATCATCTATTAACAGTCCTCTGAGCCCAAGATTAATTCATTCTTAAAAACAACACATATGAATAGTCTCCCCATTCTCTCTTTTGAACAAAGTTATAAGTTGTTATGAATGCATCATACGGGACAATCTAAAAATGCTCAAAAAGGGGAAATCAACACCTTCACAGTCAACAGGCTCAATCCATATGAAATCAGAAAGCTGGTTTTAGTAACTTTGTCCCGTTATTACTCAACCAATTGCGATTCTTGAGCGAAAATTCCTTGGAACACCCAATTCCATTCTGTATTGCTCCTGTATTACCACTCCTCAGTTTGGAGAGTAACTCCATGTTCAGAATGGCAACTGGGCTTTGAGGAAAGATGTTGGGTAACCGCACTGAGCATGCTTAGGGATTGTTCTAAATATGATTATTAGAGATGAACCCAAATTGAAACTCCAGTTCTGAACAACTCTGAACTTTATGAAGTTTAGACCAAGATCCACACTTTGAGAAAGTTCAGATCCAAATATGAACTCTGCAGCTGGAACTCAAAATCTACAATGCGCTGACGCAAAACCCTGGATCCAAAACATACCTGAACTCTGAAAAAGTTATGATTCAGAAATCAGCTCCATCTCTAGGTTTAATGCAAGGTAGTTTCTTCCTCATCTAACAGCTGCGACCCTGTGCACTAGGTTGCAACACCACTCGGGTTTGGCCCATTCACCCCTCTGCAGATGGAGGCAGAGGGGTGGATGGGCCAAATCTGAGTGACACTGCAACTCCATGTTACAGGCTGCAATGCCCAGAGCAGGGAGCTGGCTGGGTTCGTTCTCCAACTGCTGCCCTTCAAACTCACCTTTCAGCACCCCCACTATACTCGTGTGCATGCTGATGTAGCAAAAACTATGTTATTTGGTGACTTTTCTGCAACTTATTTCATCCCCGCACCTCTGCCATGAAATCTACTAAAAATTTCCAAAATTGCAGCCTTAACCATGAGCTTGATCATTTTGCTTGTAGACTGTATCCATTCCACCATTCTTCATCTTTCTTTCTTGTCTTTTTCTAGATTACAAGCTCTTTAGGGCAGGGACGGTGTTTTTTATATTTCTATAGAATTTAGAACACTGTGCTAAGTGACAAATTATTAAAGATAATTAATAACACCACCTGTAACTGCAAGGGTTGTTCCTTACTAGTTAATACTTACTTTAAATTTTGAAAACAAAAGGCTGCATTGCATTGCTCCAGAAAATAATGTGCTGTTCTAAATTTTAATAAGAAACACACAACAACATTAAAAGTGATTATATTCAAAGGCATACGCTAATGCAGTATGTTAGTGAACTAAGTTAAGACAACAAGGCTTATATGAGAAGAACGTGACAGACAGGCACCATTATTTAGCTCCAGGTACTTATCATTCTGCTTGTCGTAGCACTAGTAATCTTTTTTTTTGCCCACTCTTATTTAAGCTGAATTGGTGAAATTCAGCCCTGACATAAGGTGCAACATCCCATTGACTACTATGTGAGCTCCACCAACTAACGGCAGAGCCTGAGTTCGATCCAGTATGATTTATGCATCTTACTCTGACTCTACGTTGAAAAGGCTTCAAGTACTAGACAGCATAGAATGTATATGCTGTGAAATCAAAGTATATTTCCTCTTTCCTAGAGTAATAATAAGTTGTACAGATGAAAGGAGGTTGGATAAAGGAGAGAGGAGGTGCTACAGCAGAGTGCATTAAGAATCATGGGAAATTATGCCTGTGGTTTCAATGCCTTTCAAATAAATTTGTAAAGCACACAGTGCTGGGATTTATTCTTTTATATTTCTACCGACTAAATCATTGGTTTACCAACATAAGATTTATCAAAACCTAGAAGTTATTTACATTTTCAGTGTTGCCTTTGAGGATCTTCCACAAGACCCAGAGATTTTGCATTTGAAAACAAAATATTTCGTGTGTCTATAGTGTGGTGGTTGGAGAATGAACAACCCTTCACCCTTTGGCTGAGACCAAGTACAGAAAGTTTGATAAACATTTTTGAGAAAGTACGAGCATGTTGAAAGAGGGCTTTATAACGGAAGTGGAGTTGCAATAATGGGTAAATGAATCATTGATGGTTCAATTTGTAAGGTAGAGCAGAGAAACATCCCCTGCAGCTCCATGTAAGGCTTAGATTCTATAATCCTCCTTGACTCACACTTTTGCAAACCTGAAAGCTATAATATACACTCCAGAGTAGGCCAACAGTTTTCATCAGACATCAACATTTATAACCCATCTATGTTTTAAGTTAGTGTTACTAATTTTTAATATCTATGTGAATATCGCAGGGTACAGGGTACTCCCCCAGACTGGAACTCAGTGGGTAAATGAGCAATATAAAAAACAAAAAAAGGAAAACAGAAAGTAAACAGAGGTCAGAAATAAATCTGTATGTAAGAAGCTCAGCTGGCTCCTTAGACCCAAATAAAACTAACTTAAAAACACATCGATTTCATGACTGACCCAGACTCCTGACACATCTCTAGTATATCTATACAGCTCATTATGGACATCTCCAATGGTCAGTCTTCCTTTCCTGAATATCATTAGGGAGCAGCTATGAGACTTGAGACCACAATCCTCCTTCATGTGAGGCTTTGACAGCTGTCCTGGGATGTTCTCATACATTATTCCTCCACCTTACCAAGGAGTTAGAGCACATCCTTTCAATCTCAAGCCTGGTTCTAGCTAAGTAGAGACACCTACTTAGTTTGATATCTACCTCCCAACAGAGATTTTGTAAGTTACACAAGTAATAAAGCATTAATTTATAACTGGCATACCTAGTTTCCAGAATGATATGCCTCCCCCACCCCCACCCCCAACTTCCCATCACATGACTAGATTCTAAATCACATCATACTGAGCTTATAGGAAGAAATAGAAAGGAAACCTGAATTATAAATTAGGTTAAAAAATAGACAGAAGGCTGTAAAGGTAAGAAGCTTTGACTCAGGATGACTTTAATTTTATGTTCTATTGACAAGTTCACTAATGTTGGATTTCAAAGTCTCTTAAGATACCTCAAAACCAGAAAGATCCTACCGCTTCCATGAATAACTTCTGTAGGTCATTTCTAACACACATCAGACAATTTTGCACTTACATATTTATAAAGCATTTTGAACTACTCCTTTAATTTTTAACCAAATGAAAATTTTTACATTTGTTCAGACCACAGAGTGTAATATAAGTTAGTAATTTCATCAGTTAACTTACAGTGGTCACCACTACAAAGTCAAAATTCCACACTGTTGTACTGCAGTTATTTACTAATCTACTTGAGATACCATAACGTGATACTGGTTGGTAAATGCTGACTTTAGGATTTTAACCACTATATCCCTCCCCCGCCCATTTATTGAGTAATATTTTGAAGGCTCGTTCAAAAAAACAAAAAAACAAAAAAAACAAAAAAAACCCAGCAGAATTTTAAGAATCTGAAACAATTTACCTGTCCTGGTAAGTGGTGATGGCAATACTCGGTGGCGTCAGCAAAGGCAAAGTTGTTGGTCTAGCGAGGATGTCTCTGTCAGGTGTCTTAGCTCTTTCACTTTGTCTGTGGGACAATGGTGGTAACTGCAAATTACATGAGCAACACCTTCTTCCTCTCCAGAGATCTATGCCGAGCATATTACTAGATGTACTATAAGACTTGCTCAGGCCACATTCTAAGTAATCTTTAGCAATCTGGAAAAAAAAAGAAAAGTAATTGAAGTTATGCAAATACATTTTTCCACAAAGAAAGAATATCAGCAATTAATTTACTTTCATAAATATTTAGTATTTGGGGGAGCTGAACTACTCACAAAAGAAATCTTTATTCTTAGCTTCTGGAAAAATTTTACTACTGCCATATTACAAAGTTTTGTAATCGTTTGCAAATTCACCACTGTGAATTTCATAATATTTACAAATTGGAATCAATCCTCCAGTTCTGCAAGCTGGAGTTAAGCAGGAATGATCCCCAGCTGAATAGTCCATATTACATGGCAAACTTTCAAAATTTAAACTTTTCCTATGAATAGTCCATTTAGTGTTCATCCAAAATACCACTCCTCTCTCACACAACACAAATTCATGAATTACCTGTTAGCTCACTTTTCTGTGAATCATCACAGCTCATCAGGTTTTGCCCTATTCATACCAACTGGTGAGGATAGAGACCTCAGAGTTGGTGCTATGATATAGTCTGAATCATCCAAGATCTACTACTTGGGACAAATTCCCAGCTGAGGAACCTTAAATGATGTGGACAGTCTTAAAGAGAAGTGTCTGATCAGCCAAGTAGTTTTGTTCTCAAACTTCTACTGGTTTTATTCCAAAACATCACCAGTCCTGGAAGCTAGCTCCCATTCCTCCCACAGCTGAGCCAGAAGTACTTCTGTGTTAGAGATCAGCCTGAACTTTACAGTTCAGATCTGGCTCAAAATCTGGAACACCTTGAAAGTTCCAGGGCATCCTGACCTGAGGTTTTGATTCAATACATCATAAATGGAACCAACTGCAAAACGTAGAATATAGGTTCAAATTTTGAACCTTTCCAATGTTTAGGAGTATTTAGAGCTAAGACTTTGGTTCACATCCATCTCTACTTCTTATAAACTTTGAGGAAAACAAGTCAGATGATGCTATTCCCCTGTATGCAGAAACTGACTGTACTTGGCCTGCAAGAGACTCCGTTTTCACCATGCCAGTAAGTTCCACTAAGATTTTTCAATTTCCAGTTCAGAAGGCAAAGACATGCACTATAAACAAAGTCTGTGGTAGCTAATTGTTCTCTGAAATCTTCACATCTAAAGTGAAAGGCAATCACATAATCACACCTGGCCAAAAACGTGAATTGTTTTAATGAAGGAATTGCTTTACCGAAGACATAATCGATAGTATATGCCACCATACACAAGACATCATCTCAAAGTTTCCAGCCATCGCTTCCAGTATCTAATTTTCTGCATAATCAGCTTCTTAAGATTCTATGAAGCAGTGTGCACAATCAATGTTCATGATAACTGTAGCCTGCCAGGCACTCTGGCTTATACTAAACACAGAGTGCTCTTAACATGCCTTTCTTGACTGTTCAATTCTTGCTCTCAGAAGGGTGATAGTGGGCAATTGCTCTTCCTCCTGGAGTGTACTTTCAAGCTGGGTCCATCTTCTCTCTCCTCTTATTTAACATCTAGATAAGGCCATTGAGACTTAGTGACGAAACATTGTCTGTGGTGTTTTCAGGATGCTCTATGCCTCCGTTTTATCAAACAACCAGCGCAGTCAATTGTCTCAACCAGTGTCTGGTTCAGATGGGGTAAGGATGAGAGAAAACAGGCTGATCCTCAAATTGCATAAGTCTGGAGCAATGTTGAGGCAACATGGAAATATGGCATTGGTTATATCTGAAGGTGCAGACCTGCTTTTTGTTACTCAAGTTAACAATATAGTTGAATTTCCAGTTATCATTAGAAAAATCAGAGTAGCCATAGCCATGACAGCTTCTCCCCACCCCTGATCTGCAACAGCCTAGGATATTTTGACCATTTGTTTCAGATGTGGACCTCAATACCCTCACCCTTATAACTGTCACCTTGAGATTAGAGGACTGCAATGTGCTTTACAGAATGCTACACCAGGAGCTGAAATTGGTGCAGAATTTGACAGTCTGTTTGTTAAGTGGTATATCTGTCAAAACCAAGGCAAGGAAGGTTATGTCTAGTGGCTGGAGCAGCGGTGGTCGTGCCCAGTGGTCAGAACCAAGGGTTAGAGCTGGAACCAGGAGTCAAGAGCAGGGCTGGAAGAAGACAACAGTAGGGCTGGGAGGTAGGCTGGACCCAGAACAAGGCTGGAGCAGGACCAGAGACAAGACTAGAGCAATAGCAGGGCAGGAACAGACTGAGGCCAGTGGAATCTGTCACCACTATCAAGCAGAGCAGAGTTCCAAGCCATGAAGTGACGTTGAGCAGAATAGGCTGCTGTTTCTCCTGTGAAGCTTACATACCTGCTCCGAGAGTCACCAGAGCAGCCCCAAGCTTGTGGATTGGCTAGAGCCCAACACAGGAATAACTCATCCCCACGTGAGGCTTATTCAGGCTGTAGTCCAAGGATGACTCATCACCTCATAATATCTACCATGAACATACTGGTCTCAGGATGCAACAGATCCCATCCTGGCTAATTCCTTTGGGAGCACTGATGATGGCTGCCAGTACAGCTATTTCTGAAGGACAATACAACACATTTTAAATCGAGTAGAATCCAAGAGGGTTAACAATCTAGTTAAAAGTTGTGAAGTTGTATCACTTGTTTTAGAAAGTGATATTCCAATATCCTACTCGCCCAGTTATGCGTCCTTCAAAACTTGCTCTCAAAGTTAATAGTGCTTCAAATTCAATATATTGAAAAAGGCAAGTTATTCCTAAGAGATAGCTTCATAATGCTGGCAGCTCTTAGACTAAAGTGTGTGAAAGAAAGAGACAGGCCTTTTATAAGACGCCAAAGAAACAAGTGTTGGTACAGGTATACATAGGGCTCTACCAAATTCACAGTCCATTTTGGTCACTTTCATGGTCATAGGATTTTAAAAATCGTAAATGTCATGATTCCAGCTATTTAAATTTGAAAATTCACAGTGGTGTAATTGTAGGCGTCCTAACCCAAAACAAAACAAGGTTATTGTAGGGGGCATTGCAGTACTGCTACCCTTACTTCTCGCTGCTGCTGACGGCAGCGGTGCCTTCACAGCTGAGCAGCTGGAGAGCAGCAGTGGCTGGCCAGGAGCCCAGCTCTGAAGGCAGAGCTGCCGCCAGCAGCACAAAAATAAGGATGGCATGGTATGGTATTGCCACCCTTACTTCTGCGCTGTTGCTAGTGGCAGCTCTGCCTTCTGGCCGGGAGCCCCTGTCAACTGCCACCAGTCTCCAGCCACCCAGCTCTGAAGGCAGTGCAGAAGTAAGGGTGGCAATACTGCAACCCCTCCCTAAAACAACCTTGTGACCGCTCCACGCAACTCCCTTTTGGGTCAGGACCCCTAATTTGAGAAACACTGGTCTCCCCTGTGAAATCTGTATAGCATAGGGAAAAAGCACACAAAAGACCAGATTTCACAGGGGGAAACCAGATTTAACGGTCCATGACGCATTTTTCATGGAATTTGGTAAGGGCCCTGGTTATACACCAATCTCTTCCAACAGTATAAATTTAAAAAATAAAACCAAGAACAGTTCACTGATCTTATCACAGATGATGAGTCTCACTAATGGGTGACACAGGACATCCCTACAAGAGGCTGCCTGGAAGCTTTTTATGGAATTGGAGTTGTTAATGCCCTAAGTGACCTCTGATGGCATGTGAAGGATTCAGATTTATCTTGCTAACACAGAGAAAAGGAGCAGCTAAAATAGGGTAGAACCAACGGTTACACTGAATAGAAATGCTACAGCAAGAATGTAAATTAGTTATGTATGCAATATAGGCAATATGCGGTTATATCTGAGCAATCCAGGTACCATCACCCCAGCACTTCTTGACTATACTGATAAATTAGGAGCCATTTCAGAAAACAAAGTCAAGATAAAAATGAAATGCACAATCTCAGCCAATGCCACCTGCTGCTTGTTTCAGATCATATTTTAAAAACTAGAAATTTAAACCTATTCATGGTCTCAAACACTTAGGTCAGATTCTGCCACCTTCACCTTGAGTAGTACTTTACTCCACAAGTAGTCCATCTGAACTCAGTGGGACTCTTAACAGATTAAGGAATGGCATTCACATGGATAAAGATAGGAGAATTTGAAATATTATTCCTGTTAATTTCTTTACAGGATATGATTAAAATACATCTACAACTTGTATTTGACTATGAAGTTCGGCTTAAATAGATTGGATCAAATGTTCCTCCCTCTGTGGAGAAAGTTAATATAAGAAAGATGAACTTCTTAGGATTGTTTTATTGATAGCTATACAGCCTTGCCTTCTGACATTTGTCAATTGAACTTTGGACAAATAAAAATAACAGGCATGTGGGTCCCGGAGCCTGAAACCCTCACTCACATGATGTAAGAGGCTTGATGTAAAGTTGTGGAATAAATATAATACATAAATTAATTAGCTGAGAATATTCTAAGAATTAAAAAAAAAAAAACCTGCAGAAATATAATACCTTTCTCCCCCAGAAAGACAGATTTAAACTCCCCAACTTTACATCAAGCCTCAGTTAATTTATCCTGCAAAAGTCACCGAAACCGAGAGATACTTCCTTCTACAAACCATAAAGGTTCATTGTTGGGTGTACATTTAAAATGGAATTCCTATTTTATAAAATGCATTTAGCTCAATACAATAGAGCAAAATGGCCAAGATTTCATTTTTAAATGGGCGGCTAAAGTTAGATTCCTACATTCATCTTTTTATAGGTGCCTAGTTGTACGCAGTTTCACCTATGATAATTTAATGAGAGATTTGCAAATAACTATGGCTGGATGAAAATTTTGATGGAAACTGGGCAGGCAGGTGGTCTCCTGGAATTCACGGTTCCTGAGGGTCCCCAGTTTTCTGGCAGCCAGACAGGCTCCCCTGCTTGCTTCCCAGCAGCGCAACAAGCTGGCAGACTAGGCTCCCCTGGTCCCCACCTGGTGGGCTGCCAGGCTCACCAGACTGGTCTGCTCCTCACTTGACTGGCTCAACAAGCTATCCTGGCGGTCCACTCTCCCTGAGCTACTCGGTGGTTACGTGCCTGGCTGACTCCCTGGACAGCTAGCTCCTGGCTGCCCACCTCCCCAGCTAGCTGCTTTTCCAGACTCGTGCAGAGCCAATGAGCCCATCCAACAGCCAGCAAGCACAAGAATTCTGTTTTGATTCTCCCAAAATTGAACTTTTCTGGGAATCCCTTCCTGTGAAAATCGTGTGAGTTTTTGATTTTTTGCCCCCACAAGGGATTTAAAAAAAGTTTCAAATATGTGAGAGTGTGTGTGTGTGAGAGAGAGAGAGAGAGAGAGAGAGAGAGAGAGAGAAATTCCATTTTCTGGTCAGCTCTCTATAGAACCCCAAAGGAGATGCGTGGATTTAGTGCTGATGACAGATGTGAGATGTGGTAAGCATAAGGAGTTCAAATGACTATACTGAAATGTACCACTGAGACATGGACTTTTGGGACAGTAAGTGTTAAGTGGGTTTGCTGGCAAATCTCCCAGACAAACAAACAAACAAACAAACAAACAAACAAACAAACAAACAAACAAACAAACAAACAAACAAACAAACAAACAAACAGTAAGGTAAACATTTATCCCAATCACTGACGTGTTGGTCCACAAACGTTTTCAACATCATTTCAAGGATTCCATTAAATCTCTCAACCAGCCTGTTAGTCTGGGCTGGTAGGAAGACGACCAGAAGTGTTGAACCTCACATTTCTCCATAGCTCTTTATGTAAGGCAGACAAAGTTTGACTCTGATCAGTTCAAACCTCATGGGGAAAACCCACCCAGTTAAATATTTTTAGCAAAGTGTCAGCCACCTTGTCTGCCCCAGAGCTACTGCTTCTGGATAGCAGGAGACACAACCTATTACTACCAGAATATACTTTTTCCTTCTCCAGGTAACTTTGCTAAGGGGCCACACAATGTCCATAACGACTCTTTGAAAAGGTTACTCAATGATGGGAAGGGGGAATCAGCAGGGCCGCCCAGAGGGGGGGGGGCAAGTGGGGCAATTTGCCCCAGGCCCCCACGAGAATATAGTATTCTATAGTATTGCAACTTTTTTTTTATGGAAGGGGCCCCCAAAATTGCTTTGCCCCAGGCCCCCTGAATCCTCTGGGCGGCCCTGGGAATCAGGGCAGCCTTACCTTTGTCTGTGAACTGCAGGAAGCCCGAGACCCAGTTCTGATAAGCCCGGCCTTTGACAAACCATTTATGGTTTTTACAAACATCTCTGATACAGGGCTTGGGACTGGGCTGATGCAAATCTTAAGAAAAGGGAAGAGACATCCCAGCATATCTGAGCAAGAAATCACTCCCCCAAGTGTAAAACTACACAACAATTGAAAAAGAATATTTTGTAGTGGTATGGGCCCCCTCAGCAAATTTCAGCCTTATCTTTTTGAACAACACTTCACTGTATAAACAGACCACTCACTACTCACCGGGTTGCATCAAATGAAATGGATGAATGTCAAGTTGCTATGATGGAGCCTGGTACTCCAAGATTATGATGTGGAAGTAATTTATGTTAAAGGGAATACAAACTCAGTCACTGATGCTTTGTCCGGGAATTAAGTCAGTGGGTCCCCCTGAGGGTGCCAGACAGCCACACTTGCCCCCCCCCCGCACTTCTGTTGGGGGTGGGGTGATGTGATAGTTGTGAGACCTGGGAAGTGTAAGAAACTCAAAACAACTATGTTGAAATGTGCCAGACAAGCAAGGCCTCTTGGGATAATAACTGTTATGTGGATATCCTGGGGAATCCCTGGAGAGTGGTTAATGCAAACTACACAACCCCAGTTATGCAAGAACCCCGCCTTTTGAAACTATGCCCTCAGGAGAGGGTCACTGACTTGTCTAACTTGCTCCAGGATACTGGAGATCAAAGGCCCAGGCTGTATGAAGAAATAGCTGAACTGTGCAGTGGGAGTCTGGTTCCTAATCTAAAAACTGACATGAACTTGGGACCAACAGGGAAAACCCAGTTGTTGTGTTTGAAAGACTGACAACTACTAAAGCCCTATGTCAGGGCTGAGGGTGACCTCTGGTAAGCTTTTAGTATATATTTAGGTTCTTTCATTCATATATGTTTTCTCTGTAATGCTTTTGTCCTACAAATAAATGTAGGTTTATAAGGTTGGTTGGTAACTGGTGTACAATGTTATAGCCACTGGAGAAAGAATAAACCGCAGGTGCTGAACTCTGGTCATACCTGCTGGGATATCGCAGTGAGGTGCAACCCTAAACTCCAGTCTGAAGGGAGAAAGACATGGGTCTCCATCCCAAGAGAAGTGATGGCTGAGAAGCTTAAGCTTTAAGCAGATGCCCTCAAGGAAGACCAGGCAGGTGGGTCAAAGGTGCAGTCAACCCTGAAACTGACCCATAGATGGTGTCGGTGTGTGCGATCTAGGACAGTGGGGAACTGTCAAAGTGCCAAAAACAGTGACAGCAAGTACCGTAGAAGGGAAAAGCACAGTGAAAAGTCTCAGTTTTGGGTGGGGAAGGTACAGTGAAATGAAAATGAGTTATGCAAAGCTGAAAAAGAGGCAAATGGCTGAGATATGCTGAAAAAGGCAGTTCAACACTGAAGAGCTCAAAGGCACAGCTCATTGACCAGCTATACACCAAGGACCAGAAAAGGAATCCCCAGGCAACTTCCAGGATCCCAGGCAACATCCAGCCATTGGCAGAGAGTCCAGCAGGCAGGGGAAATCTTGAGGGGGAGGGAAGCTGGGAAGAAGCTGGCATATGCGGCAGTCATGCTCCATCCAGATCAGATGCACCACTGCAACTGGGATCATGGAGAGACTAAACAGTTAGAGCAAGAGAATCTGTGGCTGGAGAGGGAAAGATTGCACCTGGAAGCCCAGATGCTTGCAGCTCAGGAGCAAGAGTACAGATCAGGAGAAGCAGCATCAGCATGAGTGAGAAGGAGAAGGATTATCAACTGCAGCTCAATATGGAAAAACTGCACCAGCAAAACATCATCTGGTAGGTGGAGCCAGATCCCATGTACCTATCCGCTGGATGGCACAGACTCCATATTATTTCCTCGCTTTAAGAGGAGGATGTACATGCTTTTGAAATGGACCAGGTGGAGCAGGGGGACATAGTATGGTATCTGACTCCACTACTGTTAGGGACAAAGGCTTTCTTGATGATCTAGCAAATGGACAGCATTTTTTGTCCAAGGGGGCCCCCCAACTCTTGCAGAAGGGTTGGAAAGACTTAGGCCTACTAGGGCCCCATAAGACTGATGGGTGACTCCTGGTATGTTTACTGGCTGTTTAAATTTCTTTATTGTTTTAATACATTTTCTCTGTAATGCTTTTACATTAAGAACAACAGTGCTTGCTTAGAAAGTTCTGTGATAACTTGTAACAGCTGGCAATACACTGTTCCTATCCCTCAGAGAAAAAGCAAAACACAGAATTGACCTTTTGGCACACTGGTTTCAACCCCCTCCCCTACCCCCCCGTCAGAGGGGAGAGGGACAAGGGTCCCTGCCTAGAGATAAGTGATGGCGGGAGTCCAGATTGGGTACTCCCAGAGTAAACCACAGAGGGAGGAATACAGGTGAAGTTACCTGACAAAAGGCATTGGCTTGACAGCACCTGACAGAGCCACTGAAGGGCAAGCTTCAGACACACTACTCTGTCAACAGGCTGATATCGAGTGGAGGGGGAGATTCTTTTGTGGGTGGCAGAGGCAGTTCAGTCACCAAGATTCATACAGTTCTTAAAGAGGCCATACAGTTCTTGGCCTCTTTAATGAGTTGCCAATTAGTGCAGAGCTGTACAGCATGGTGGAGAATTTGTGATGTGGGAGCAGGAACTGAGACCTATCAAACTCATCTTATATAGTGGGGGTACCAAACATCCATTATATAGAAACATTTATCCATCGATTCGAACTAGTGACCTACAGGTGAAAGGTTCTGTAGCTTATTCGCATTGTCTGAACGGCAGCCAGTTCCCCAACAGATACTATCTTCAGAGAGGGTAATTTTAGTGTGTTTTATACATATATACACACACACACACACACACACACACACACACACACACACAGAATAAACACATATTAAAATTACCCTTTCCAATTAGTACTTGCTGGGGAATTGGCTATCTCAAGGACAATGCTAATGAACCATTATATAGAACACCTACACACAAACCCAAACAAACTACATTAGAAGAATATTAAAGAATGGCTGCTGCTGGTATTAAAAGTGCTGGAGTGATATTGAAAATGTAACATTGTTACATATACTCTGGGAGAAGATGATTTTCCATTTTTAAAGATCCCAAGCTGTAATAAACAAGGCAATTACTGCTGTGATTATCATTGCCATTATTACAAATTGATGCATTTCTCCTGAGAATAAGAACTGGAATGTAATTAATAAAGGATTATTGTGGCAAGAGGAGTGATAGATTAATATATCAGCACATGGGGTGTTAAGAAACCACAGTAGTGAGTGCTGTAAAAATGCTTATAAATATATAATCACAGCAAATCCACAAAGTGTGGATCCAGATCAGATCTTCCTCAAAGTTTGTGGTTGGGCTCAGGTCCATCTCTCTCTCTTACAGTCTAATGAAGTAGAATGTTCAAGCACACACTCTGCATTAGCAACAGAAAAGAGTTTACATTAATATTTTTTAATCAATGGACCTTACTCTCCTCTCACTTACACTGCTATAATTTAGGAGTAACTCCAAGGAAGTCAGTAACTTAAGGAGCAACTCCAGTGTAAAGCCAGCCTATGTGAAAGGAGAATCAGGCTGTGTGTTCTGTTCTGAAAAAAATATACTGGAATGAACAAACCTTGACTTTTTTAAAAACTTACGTCATCTGCTGTAACCGTCATGACACTTCTGCTTTTCTTCATTATAGAGATGAAAAATGCACCTGTTCGTGCCAACCGCTCTTGTTCAATCCAATTTCTCCCCAGACAGTAAACCTATAAGAAAAAGTGGGAAGCCTTTGTATTCTTGAGTAATAAGCTATGTAGTTGATTGATAACATGGTTAGCTGGCTTACAGCTTACAGCTAACAGCGTGTTTTCATAAAGCGCTTTGCAGCAGAAGTCCAAGCACAAGGATCCCAAGTGTCTAATTACATAAAAGTATAACATTCCATTTGCAAAATAATAATTTAATTAGTAATGAGAATTCTTTTAAAAAAATCAGTGTTCTCAGAGTTTGGGAATATAAGCTTTGTAACAACTAGGGCTGTCAAACAATTAAAAAAATGAATCACGATAAATTGCAAGATTAAAAAATAATCACTATTAATCACAGTTTTAATTGCATTGTTAAACAATAGAATACCATTTATTTAAATATTTTTGGATGTTTTTCTACATTTTCAAATATATTTATTTCAATTACAACACAGAATACAAAGTGTACAGTGCTCACTTTATAGGATTATTTTTTATTACAAATATTCTTCTTATTTACAACGTCACCTGAAAGTGAGACCAGGCGTTCACATGGCACTGTTGTAGCCGTGGTTGCAAAGTATTCCAGTAAACACTTCCAGGCTGATAATGGGTTCTGCACATTCATTTTCATCATCGGAGTCAGATGCCACCAACAGAAGGTTGATTTTCTTTTTTAGTGGTTTGGGTTCTTCTGACAGCATATTCCACACCTCGTCTCTCTCAGATTTTGGAAGCCACTTCAGATTCTTAAACCTTGGGTCAAGTGCTGTAGATATCTTTAGAAATCTCACATTGGTACCTTCTTTGCGTTTTGTCAAATCTGTACTGAAAGTGTTCTTAAATTGAACAATATGTGCTGGGTCGTCAACTGAGGCTGCTGTAACACGAAATATATGGCAGAATGCAGGTAAAACCACAGAGCAGGAGACATACAAGGAGTTGAGTCACAAATTTAATTAACACTTTTTTTTTTTTTAAACAAGCAGCATCAGCATAGAAGCATATCCTCTGTAATGGTGGTTGAAGCAAGAAGGGGCATACAAATGTTTAGTATACTGCAATACCTTGCAACGCTGGCTACAGCAGTGCCATGAGAACACCTGGTCTCACTTTCAGGTAACGTAAATAAGAAGTGGGCAGCATTATCTCCCGTAAATGTAAACAAACTTGTTTGCCTTAGCGATAAGCTGAAAAAGAAGTAGGACTGAGTAGACTTGTAGGCTCTAAAGTTTTACATTATTTTGATTTTGAGTGGTTATGTAACAGATACAAATTTACATTTATAAGTTGCACTTTCACAATAAAGAGATTGCACTACAGTACTTGTATGAAGTTAATTGAAAAATACTATTTCTTTTGTTTATCTTTTTTACAGTGCAAATATTTGTAATCAAAAGTAATCATATAAAGTCAGCCCTGGACACTTTGTATTCTGTGTTGTAATTGAAATCATTATATTTGAAAATGTAGAAAAACATCCAAATATATTTATAATACATTTAAACTGGTATTCTATTATTGTTTAACCATGTGATTAAAACTGCGATTAATCACGATTAATTTTTTTTAATCGAGTTAATTTTTTTTTAGTTAATCACTTGAGTTAACTGTGATTGACAGCCCTAGTAACAACCTTAGAAATATAGGGCCAAATCCTGTGGTTCCTACTTAGTTTTTTAACAAGTCCTTACTCAGAAGTATATCACAGAAGGTCCCAGGTTTGAGTAAACTGGCCCTTACAAAAACTAGTAAGAGGAGATATTTGTATTCATATTTTAACTCATACAGTAACTCTCACAAATGTAAAGGCTCTATTCAATATTATACATGCATGCATCCACTTCTATACTGTAGCCCTCTCTTGGGTGAGACACTGCAGCCACTTTGGGCAAGCAGCACTACACAGCAGCATTTAGAAAAAGAAATGAAAAATAACTAACCAGATGAAACTGCAGAGGAAGACAGAACATAATCATTCACTCACCTAGGAATTTGGCCAGGGCACCAGGTGTTAAAAATCTTACTCTTTCTTACTATGAACTGAGTGCTCATGAAAAGGTGCCAGAGGGACAGCTCTGAAAAGGAAAACCCTTGGTGTTTTTCACAGAACAGGTACAGCTGCAGTGCAAGCTTTTGCACACTGTCAATATGTGTCTACCCTGGCTTGGAAAGATTAACTCTGGGGTGAGAGGACAAATCACTAACTGGCCTCTCTGTTGAGACTACCAGTAAAGGGGTCAAGTAGTACCAGTTGTGGTGGTGGCTTTTATGGTGAAGACAACGCTCCAGAGGAATTTAACCAAGACCAAACAGCCCTCAGATGGTGAAAGCTTTCAGGTACTAGCCATACTGCTCAACTTTAATACACTGAGGCCTGGTCTACACTAGGCGTTTATGTCGAATTTAGCGCCGTTACATCGAATAAACCCTGCACCCGTCCACACCACGAAGCTATTTAGTTCGACATAGAGGTCTCTTAAATTCGACTTCTGTACTCCTCCCCAACGAGGGGAGTAGCGCTAAATTCGACATGGCCATATCGAATTAGGCTAGGTGTGGATGGAAATCAACGGTAATAGCTCCGGGAGCTATCCCACAGTGCACCACTCTGTTGACGCTCTGGACAGCAGTCCGAGCTCAGATGCTCTGACCAGCCACACAGGAAAAGCCCTGGGAAAATTTGAATTCCTTTTCCTGTCTGGGCAGTTTGAATCTCATTTCCTGTTTGGACATCGTGGCGAGCTCAGCAGCACTGGCAACGATGCAGAGCTCTCCAGCAGAGATGGCCGTACAATCTCAGACTAGAAAGAGGGCCCCAGCATGGACTGATCGGGAAGTCTTGGATCTCATCGCTGTGTGGGGTGATGAGTCCGTGCTTTCCGAGCTGCGCTCCAAAAGACGGAATGCAAAGATCTACGAGAAGATCTCTAAAGCCATGGCAGAGAGAGGATACAGCCGGGATGCAACGCTGTGCCGCGTGAAAATCAAGGAGCTGAGACAAGGCTACCAGAAGACCAAAGAGGCAAACGGACGCTCCGGAGCCCAGCCCCAGACATCCCGTTTCTACAAGGCACTGCATTCCATCCTAGGTGCGGCCGCCGCCACTACCCCACCACTGACCGTGGACTCTGAGGATGGGATATTGTCCACTGCCGGTTCCTCAGACATGTTAGCGGACGGGGAAGATGAGGAAGGAGATGAGGAGGACGAGGCAGTCGACAGCGCTTGCAACGCTGATTTCCCCAACAGCCAGGATCTCTTCATCACCCTTACAGAGATCCCCTACCAACCGTCCCCAGCCGTTAACCCGGACACAGAATCAGGGGAAGGATCATCCAGTAAGTGTTTTAAACATCTAAACATTTATTTTTAACAGAACAGGAATGTTAACAATACCAACAATGGGTTTCTCATGATTAGTTTGCCCTAGGCGCTTAACGTTTCAGTCCCGGGCAGTGCAACTATTAAAAAAAAAAAAATCTAACAATATCCGGTTTTGCATGATTGTTCTGCCCAAGCCGCTCTACTGTTTAGTCCCTGCCAGTGCAGCTACAGTAAAATGCGGTCTACATGTCCGGGGATAGAGCAGAAATCCTCCTGGGACATCTCGACGAAGCTCTCCTGGAGGTAATTGGAAAGCCTTTGCATCAGGTTCCTGGGGAGAGCGACCTTATTGGGTCCTCCATGGTATGAAACGTTTCCGAGCCAGGAGACAATCAAGTACTCCGGGATCATTGCCCTGCAGAGCATGGCGGCATACGGCCCTGGTCTTTGCAGGCTTTCCCAAAGCATTCTTTCTTTATCACTGTCTGAGATCCTCATCAGGGTGATGTCGCTCATGGTGACCTGCTTTGAATTAGGTAGGGGAATGTTAGTATTGGGACTGCTTGCCCGTTCCTTTACAGAACTGTAACCGCCGGTTTACAGCCATGCAGTGGAGGCGGGAGAGGGGCGGCATACAGGGATCTTTCCCTGGGACAGCCACGAGGGGGTGGGACAGGGGCAGAGTTGATGCTTGCCGGATTGCTGGCAGCAGGGACTGGCATTGCTTTCAATGTGAAAGGAGGCCAGTGCTACTATTAAAGTTTTAAGCAGCCACAAGTCTACGGCTTACCATGTCTGCCTGCTACACAAATTCCGGTGTCCTGCCCCGCTTCTCAGATCGGCAGTGCAAGACCCCAGGCACTGAATGCGAGGGCCGAAAATTCGACCTTGTCCTGAGTGCGCATGTGATAGGTGCTGTGCATGGTCTTGTTCACAGAGAAAGACTATGTTCTTTGTTCACAACTACATTTATCTTTCTGAGGAATTCACTCCCTTTTTCCCATTCCCACAGCCACATCTGCGACGGTCTCCCAACCCAGCCTGGCATCACACTCCCAGAGGCTAGCGCAGATTAGGCGGAGGAAGAAGAGGACGCGGGAGGACATGTTCTCAGAACTAATGGGCTGCTCCCGAGCCCAGGCAGCACAGCAGACCCAGTGGAGGGAGAACTTGTCCCAAATGCACCGGTCACACATGGAACGGGAGGAGAGGTGGCGGCAGGAAGACCAGCAGGCGACTCAAACGCTGCTTGGACTAATGAGGGAGCAAATGGACACGCTCCGGCGCCTTGTGGATGTTCTGCAGGAACGGAGGCAGGAGGACAGAGCCCCGCTGCAGTCTATCTGTAACCGCCCTCCCCCGCCACCAAGTCCCATACCCCCCTCACCCAAAGTCCAAAGGAGGAGGGGCGTCAGAGTCCGTGAAAACTCTCACTCCACCCCTGCAGACTGCTCTACTACTAGAAGGCTCTCATTCCCCAAAATTTGACAAGTCCTTTCCTTCCCGCCTCACACAAGCCCCCGTCCAAGTTTCACCCCCCAGTTTCATGTGTAGTTGCTAATAAAATATACGTTTCTGTTAATTACTGTTTCCATCATGTTCTTTTGGAGGAGAGTCTGTCTGAAGGAGGGGAAGGGGGTTGGTAATTGGACAGGACAGTCACCTTTAGCAGGGTACAGAGGCGGGGGCAG